TCCTCACCACTCCTTCTGCCATAAAAATAGCTGAGGTCCCGTCCTGGATTCACCTTTCTCGGGTTAAAAAGGCTCTCCATGGCCCCCCTCCCAGCTGGAGGGCCACTTCTACTGGCCCTTTATCTCTTAAACTTACCAAAACCTAACCAGGGTGGATTTGGTTCAGGCTATAACCCAAATCAGGTATTACAGGCTGTATACGGAGAGCCATGCAACTGCAAAGGGGGCTTCGTGTCTTCTGTACCCGGCACCTACCAGTCTACAATCGATTGTGGCACCATGACGGCATACCTTGTTTATGGCAATAACCAAATACCAGAGTACAAGTGTCTAAAAAAACCAACCCTAACCCTAATTCCGCTGGGGTCCCCTTTACCATCCTGCAACTGCTCTTCCACTGTGTATCGGTCTATACACAGCAGCTGTTACAACCAATATGCCACTTGTCTCAGGGGCAATACCACATACTTCACTGCTTGGGTCATCCGTGGACGAGCAGGGTCGTTTGGGGGAGATTGGGCCTCCAGCACGCCACTAGGCATCTCCTATAAACATGCCAGTGCTGGTTGTCCAACGCCCTCTAGACAGGCTGTCTGTTGGCAAACCAAACCTACCATTGGCGTCAGTGATGGAGGGGGCCCACATGACCAAATGAAGTCCCATCATCTTAAGGAGACTATTAAAACATTATTTCCCACCTTATCTTACCATCCTTTATCCTTGCCCAAATCTCGCCGCCTAGATTTGGACAGATCAACCCAAAGTCTTCTTAAAGCGGTCCACAGCTTCCTCCTACATGGCAACTCTTCTTTAGCTAACAGTTGCTGGATATGCTTACCTCTGGAAACCCCTATGCCCTTGGCTCTGCCCGCCCCTGCCAACCACAGCCGCAATGGGACCCTTCGGCTCCCTTTCCCAGTTCAACCCATAGGGAGTGCCTGTGTCAATGTCACATGCTACCGAAAAACTCCTATAAATAACTCCTATGATCTTGATGTAGGTTCTGTTTTAGAGTCTTGTAATTGCTCTAGTTTTAGAAATTCTAACACTGCTTTGTTTGCCCTCCCAGGACAGAGTTTTGTTTGCGGGAATAACATGGCCTTCTCTTACCTACCCCAAAACTGGACAGGTATATGCATGGTGGCATCCCTTTTCCCCGATGCTAGTATCGTCTCGGGAGATGATCCTGTTCCTCTTCCCAGTTTCGACTCAGTAATAGGAAGAAATAAAAGGGCAGTCCAGTTTATCCCTTTGTTGGCCACCCTTGGCATCACGGCTGCAGTCTCTACGGGAACTGCTGGGCTAGGCTATTCCCTACAAACCTATCAACAGCTCTCTCGTCAATTAATTAATGATGTTAATCTACTCTCATCTACCGTTCAAGTTGTCCAGGACCAGCTTGATTCCCTTGCAGAGGTCGTCTTACAGAACCGCCGAGGTCTGGACCTGCTCACAGCCGAAAAAGGAGGCCTGTGCCTCGCCCTGGACGAGCAATGCTGCTTCTACGCCAACCGGTCGGGCATTGTCAGGGACAAAATTAAAACTCTCCAGGAGGACTTGGCCAAACGACAGAAGGCCCTCCAGGATAACCCTCTGTGGAGCGGACTTAATGGACTTCTCCCTTACCTCCTTCCTCTCCTTGGACCCGTTCTCGGCCTCTGCCTAATTCTGTTTTTCTTACCCTGTCTCTTCCAGTTTCTTCAAAAGCGATTCCAGGAGCTTACTAGAGTCACCATCCATCAAATGATGCTCCAACCGATGCCTAATCTCCATCGGCCAGAATACCGTTATACCCCTCTCCAGACAGCCTAAACTCCTACCCTCACCCCTTCGCCGCCCCAAAGTCAGCAGGAAGTAGCCAGAAGGACAGCCGCCGCCCCTTTTTCCTCTTTAAGGAGTTGGGAATGTCTGGTAGAGGACTTTTGGCCCCGTTCCCCAGCCATGTGGAAAGGGCCTAATTCCCGATAAGGAAGGCCCTTCCTCCCCCACAGGGAGGGTCCCTTATCTCAGTCTATCCTGGCCCAGCCCAAGACCAGCGACCTTCCCGCCCAGTGGCCCACTGAACCAATCACCATCCGCCCCACCAGCTCTCCCGTAACCTCCCGTCCCACAAGCTCCCGCCCGGCAGGCTTCCTGCCCAGCAACCAACCTAGACAATTACTACCCGCCAGGTCAGCTCTCCTACCGCCCCAGGCCCTCTGTCCCTATAAAGTCGACCGAACAAAGAAAGCGCGTGCGATTCCTCCCTTCCCGCTTGAGTCGCCCGGAGATCCCAATAAAGTCGGTACCGGTCACCACGCGTCCTGCCTCGAGTCTATTGAGCGCCTGCCTCCGTGGGTCAGGGTCCCACAGCCGGGGTCGCACACCTTGGTTTTGCAATTCTTGTAACCTTCACTGGGATTACTTTCTCAAGACAGAGCAGCCAAATGAAATCCCCTTCTTCTTCACCACAACCAGGTCATGAGGGCCTCACAGTGGCAATAATCAGATTTCCTCAATCTGTCACCCTCAGGATTGTGAGGATCGTGAACCTGAGTGAAAGGAATAACCCATTTGAGACCCTACTGTTACCAAATCTCCCCTTTGATATGTCCATCAAGGTCTTCCTGCCACTTTCTGACATCCAGGTCAAAGACACATCCTCACCCAAACAGGAAAAAATACAGGGTCCCCTACACTCAACAGGGAGAGAGTATGCTTTGTTTCCAAACATCTATAAAACAGCAACAAAATAAATCATGTTCTCAGTCAAGAAGAAAGTCTTAATGAATTTTAAGTACTCAATAATATACAGATCACTTAATCAGACCAAAGGTAATGGAATTGGAAGCCAATAAGAAATCATTTTTAAGAATGAGTTTTAAAACTATGTGTTATATGGGAAACAGCAATGCAGATGACAAAATATTTAAAGAACAATACGGAATATGCTACAAATCCCAAGCTGTAAACACAATTAAACACACTTAGGAAGCTGTAGCCTTAAACACGCTTATCCAAAACTTGTAGATAGATGACTTATGGATCTAATTCAAGAAGCTAGAAAAATAATGACAGCACAAACACAAAGAAAGTAGAAAGAAGGCAGAATAAGACTGAGAACAGAAATTAGCAAAATAGAAAATGAACCAGCAAAAAACCAACATGGGGTAAGCAATAAAACCCAGTCTGGTTCTTAAGAAACACGAAAATGTGGCTGGGCGCGGTGGCTCAAGCCTGTAATCCCAGCACTTTGGGAGGCCGAGGCGGGTGGATCACGAGGTCAAGAGATCGAGACCATCCTGGTCAACATGGTGAAACCCCGTCTCTACTAAAAATACAAAAATTCAGCTGGGCATGGTGGCGCGTGCCTGTAATCCCAGCTACTCAGGAGGCTGAGGCAGGAGAATTGCCTGAACCCAGTT